TGAGGCACCAGGCCCAAATCAGAGAGGTCCAGGCCCAGATCAGAGAGGTCCAGGCCCAGATCAGAGAGGTCCAGACCCAGATCAGAGAGGTCCAGGCCCAGATCAGAGAGATCCAGGCGCAGATCAGAGAGATCCAGGCCCAGATCAGAGAGGTCCAGGCCCAGATCAGAGAGATCCAGGCCCAGATCAGAGAGATCCAGGCCCAGATCAGAGAGGTCCAGGCCCAGATCAGAGAGATCCAGGCCCAGATCAGAGAGATCCAGGCCCAAATCAGAGAGATCAGGGTGTCACGAGACTGTAGTGTAGTAGTCTGTCTGGAGGAGACCCTGTCTGTCCATCATGCTCAGATCCTAATGCTCCCACACTTCCCAGCTGCTATCCCGGCATATTTTCCCTGCATGTTTTCCACCTGATTCCATGACAGATGGATCTATTGATACAATCAGACAGACAGACAGACAGACCAGCCTGAGGCCACAGACCAATCTAAATCCTGACTTTACAGCAGTGGTCAGTCCTGGTCCTGGGGACCCAGAGGTGTGCAGATGGTTGTTCCAGCATAACACAAAAAAACTTTCTTCAACTAATCACAGGCTTGAATATTAGTTGATGAATTGAATTCGATGTGTTATTATTGTAATTCTGGAATGGCTAAAGGATTGCAATATTTACCTGGAGCTAACCCTGCAGATAGCACTACTGGGTGATCTGAAAAGTCATAGTCAATCGATCAATAACATAATAATACTATTAGCAAAAATGTTTATTTTCAATTCACAATCTGTAGAAACAATGAGAATAGAAAGGTTCAGAACTTTTGTAAGACATCACAGTACAGTTGAAATATATATGGCAAATAGAAATCCTATATGGATGTGTTAAAAGATAGATGGGAGGTGTTGAATGGAATTGAAGGATGGGACTAATAACAACTAACAACAAACAATAACATGATAACTAATAATGTAGGCACGCTGTGTCCATAATAAGTGTATGGGTTGTAGGTTGGGAGCTTTTTCGAAGGAGCACAGTTAGAAAGATATGGCATATAGAAGCAAACTGGATGGACATCATGAAAATGATCGGAGAGGTTGAGAGTAGAAGAAGTACAGGAGAAAGAACAAACAAAATGTAATTACTGTAAAATTGACCGTGTCCATAAAATGTAGATAGTGGGTATGGGCTGGAAGTAGAGGCCTAGGCGTTGTTGTTCACTAGTTTACTCCAAGTGGGGAAAGGGTGGCGGGGTTGGAATGTAATAAAGGGGAATATATATATATTTCTTAAAGGATATGTATGTGTATGTATGTATGTGTGTATGTGTGTGTATGTATGTGTATGTATGTATGTGTATGTGTATGTATATATATATATATATATATATATATATATATATATATCTATATATATATATATATATATGTATATGTATGTATGTGTGTATGCATGTATGTATATATATAAAAAACATGGGGGATTGGAATGATGCAGACAATGGTTAAAATCCAAATAGCCTTTAGTACTGGGTTAGAACCAAAGCCAGTACTGTACAACCTATGAGTGAAATGAATAACACAGTTTTACAGCCTTCCAATGAGTTAAGAGTTCCTCCAGACTACCACAGCTCCCATGATAACACAGACAGCCTTCACCAGTCAGCCAGCCAAAACACTATCACACTATCTCCTTTAAGAAGAGAGAGATAGAGGTAGAGAAGCAAAAGAAAGATAATGTAAAACCAAAAGAAAAGCGAACCTTGCTCTCTAATTGGATTCCCCAAGGTCGGAGTGGTGGGTTGTGGGTTTCGTGACCAGCTCATTCTAGGGGGGGGGGGACGGATCAACTCTCTACAGGGACAGCCTGACGAGGGAGGCACACAAACGTCAATAAGTCCTCTCAGTGGGCCAACAAAGGGACATTTTCGAGACATTTCTATCAGGGGCGACATAATTCCTGTGTGTTTTTCCCTTCCTGCCGAGTTCAGATAGGGGATTACGGCAATAGGCAGATCAAGTGGCATCAAGTAATCCACGACAATAACAACCTCTCCGCCACCCCCGCTGAAATTTATACCCCCGGCCCCCGCCCGTCAGAATACCAGAACACCTGACACATCCACTGTCTCTTGTTTGAAACCAGTAGTGTTACCATATAATCCTATTAATTAACAAGTCCTTCTTCCATGTTCTCCTCTCCTCTCTCTCTCTCTCTCTCTCTCTCTCTCTCTCTCTCTCTCTCTCTCTCTCTCTCTCTCTCTCTCTCTCTCTCTCTCTCTCTAAGCACAGGCCTGCCTGCATATCTGGATCCTGCAAATAGTATTCAAAATGTTTTTGTTTGATGTGTCCCCGTTTATAAGAATCCGTTACTCATGCACTTAAGCTGCAGTTAGGTATTTCTGTGGGAGTAGATGGGGATTGGGGGAAAGGGGGGTGTTTAAGCTTGTTATCAGTGTTGGTTGGGGGTTAGAGAGAACAGTTAGAGCAAGGGAGGGTATGGTATAAGGTATGACGGTACGACGGTACGACAGTATGGTGGTGAGGTTTTTTGCAGTTGGCTAACGAGTTTAGCGCATGAAGAGTATACTGTATAATGAGCATTCATATTATGGCACTTCGTTATGAATAATGTAGCAACTCTTAAACGGGGGCATTTACACAAGCAGAATGGAAGGCAGGGTGACTTTGTTCAATGAGTATATGTTTGTTGTATTTGCCTGTGAAATAGCCGTATTTTTCAGCACAGTGAGCAAACAGGTACTAGCTGCCCAAGGCTGTGGACAAAACATGAGCCTTAGCTAGGTATGTGGTGTGCTGCGGATATGAGAAGGATTTGACGAGTTATTGCTCAATAATGTAAAATATGTGGCATTCAAGGCAAGGTAAAAAAGCTAGTGAGTGTTCTGTTGTTGTTTTGTCTGTCTCTAGTATCCAGTTCTCACTCACAGGGAAGATGCTGTGTCTGTGTGACAGCGGATGGAGGTGGGGGTTGTTGAGTAAGATGTTATTTCTTATGTAATGTGGCTGAAAGATGAGGGGGAGAAGGACTGACTGAGGCCTATTTCTGTCCTGGACACCTGCTTCCCTTCCTGTTCAGCACTGGGGAGAACGCAGGAGAGGAGGAGAGAGAAGAGGAACGAGGGAGGAGGATGAAGAGGGGGGGGGGGGGGGACCACTTCAATGGCTTTCAGCCTCAGAGCTCACACACCTGAGTCCTTAGTGTGTGTGTGTTTTTTTGCGCGTGCGTGCATGAATGCATGTCTGGTTTGATCTAGTGAGTCTGCACATGAAGAGTTTCATTCCAAAATGCTATATATCCATTTTCAGAAATGTTGCTAAATTAGCTTTTATTGTTTAAAGAAATTAGGAAATTGATTGGTGTGTTTTTTCACTATCTAATCATGGCAGACATGTATTTGTTTAAAATATAATTTGATGGTTTCATTTCAGAGAGACATATAATCTTGTTTTTTGGGGGGCAAAATGCTATATATCCACCTCACTCTCAGAGGAATAAGTAGTACTGCTAGGTTTGACACAGTAAAATGTAACATATAAGTACATTTAAATGTACTGTATGTAAAACAATTACATTTGCCATTTTACTCATTTAGCAGATGCTCTTATCTAGAGCAACTTACAGTAAGAGAGTGAGACAACCACATATCACAGTCAAATATACAGGATACGAACATTCCATTCCAGCAAAACAATGGATATATAGCGTTTTGCAAAAAAAACACAAACGTAATTGACAAATGTGTGGCTATAGCGTTTTGGAAATAAACTCTTCACATTCACGTGTGTTATCACAGGAGTGCATCTGTGTCTGTGTGTTCATGTGTGTCTGTGTCTTCATGTGTGTCTGTGTGTTCATGAGTGTATGTGTGACCGTCAACAATAACACTGATGTAAACGGTCTCTAAACTGTGTTCTTGTTTATATATTTCCTGTTGATCAGATTTTGTATTCAAACAGATCAGAGGAGCTTTGTGTTCTCTATGAAGTTACTGTATGGTGATCACCTGCTGTGTCGGAGACACACAGCTACCTGAATCCAAATAGATCAGGGGGATTCAGTCAGGGTTTGTGTGTGCTAATGTATTTTCAGACTTGTTGATCTGTCTGTCTGTCTGTCTGTCTGTCTGTCTGTCTGTCTGTCTGTCTGTCTGTCTGTCTGTGTGTGTGTGTGTGTGTGTGTTTGTATGCGTGTGTATGCGTGTGTGTATGTGTGTGTATGTCTGTGTGTGTGTTTGTATGTGTGTGTATGTGTGTGTGTGTATGTGCATATCGATGTGTGTGCACTAATCTGCTTCTGATCTGCCTTATCCATCCATCCGTCTGTATTTGTCTAATGAATCAAATTTTGTGGCTCGTTGTCTCTCGCCTTCATGGTAGCAGCACGTCTGCGTGTCTGTCAGTGTTGAGAGTGGGTGTGTGTGTGTGTGTGTGCACATGAGTGTGTGTGTGTGTGTTAATGCATGAGTGTGCATGTTTGTGCACATGTGAAAATGCATGTTTGTGTGTGAGTGGGGAATATGTGTGTATATGTGTATGTGTTGGGAGGTAGTAGGGGGGAACTCAGATGGGGCTCATTGGGGTCCCATGGTCCACCTGAGTGGCTGTGGTGGATACGGAGCTCTCATTCCCAACACAAGCTACAGCACACCCTCCACCATACTTTCCCTCTGGAGATTTACCCGCAGTGATAGAGAAAGAGAGAGGGAGGGAGGGAGGGAGGGGGTTGGCTAGGGCTAGGGGAAGAGGGGGGATAGGGAATGATGGAGTGAGTGAGAGAGAGATAGGAAGAGGAGGCGAGCATGAGAGTGAGAGAGAGAGGGAGAAAAAATGACATACCTGCCCAGCTTGTTTGCGAACATCATTATTCTTATTTTAGGAGATTTGTTAGGCGGCGAGACGCTCCTGGAGCACAACAAGTGATGCAGCCGTGTGAATCATGTGGGCTTGAGTAGATTGAGCGTGCAGGGGCCTGTCAATAGACACATGGCCCAGTCATCGGCCCAGCATCCCGGGGAGTGGAGACCGGTGAGGGGGGGGGGGAACAAACAAATGCATCTCATTATTTCAGTGCTTGCCTCTGCAGTGCTCCGGGTAACCCATCACAGTCTACACAGATCGAATTGCTTCCTTTAAATCAGTTTGAAGCTGCAGCCAGATCTCATCTGTCTCAATAGCAGGGCTGGAGCCAATATGACTACTCTAATGCACACAGCAACAGCTCCTCCTAGTGGCGCTAGGTGAATTACCCTGAGTCGGAGGAGAGCAGAGAAAGTCTGGCTGACTGACTGACTGGCTGACTAGCTCGTGTTCTGTTTATCCAGCCATAACCATTGGATTTATGTCAGCATTCAGCAGCGGATGATGGAATTACCCCTTGATGAAACAGATAGCTCTTCCCCTGGATGACTCGCATGATAAACAAACGATAGCTGCTTGTTTGTCTCTCTTTCTGCCTCTACTGTTTCATTTTTTCTCTCTTTCTCTTTCTTCCTTTCTTTCTTTTTTCTTTCTTTCTTTCTTTCTATGTTTCTTTGTTTCTTTGTTTCTTTGTTTCTTTGTCTTCTCTCCTCTCTCTCTCTCTCTCTCTCTCTCTCTCTCTCTCTCTCTCTCTCTCTCTCCCTCTCTCTCGTCCTCTCTCTCCCTCCCTCTCTCTCTCTCTCTCTCTCTCTCTTCTTCTCTATATTCCTCTCACTAAACCATGCTGTCAGTTGATATCTGTTGAAAAGTAGCAATGACCTTTGTTTCTTGTATGCTATGCTGGCTCTCACCCACTCACGAAAAGCTTGCATTTGCTTGGTAAAATATGTGTTAAAAGATCTCTTTCCTCTCATCTTTCTTTCTACTCCTTTATCCTATTCTGTGACAGTTTGTTGTGGAGTAGATTATCATGTGTCCAGAGTAAATGACAGTTGTGCTGAAGCCTGTTTGTTTAATTGCAAATCTGGTGACAGTTTCCCTCTGAATTCCCTTCCAAATAACTTCCACTCTCTTCAACAAGTTTTCTTTCTCTGAATTCCCTGCATGGTCCGAAAGAAATGAAAGAGAGGGGGAAGAGAAAAGGAGTGGGAAGTGCTTTGATCTGCTGTGTAATCACATATTCAGCTGGGGGGTGATCTGAGAGAAGAACTGTTTGGCGCTATAACAGATTAGCATCTGTCTCGTCTCATCACCAACCCTACTGTACACCACACTAATGATATGGACCCACTGATTCTCCAGGAATATAACAGAACATGCCTTACTAGCTTGGTACAACTGTCTTTCTTCAACATCTAAGGGTCTCAAATGTCTTAATGCATTAATTACCAAAAGCTTATTTTTCTGTGATCTGTAAACAGATTCAACAATTCTGGTCAAAGCCTAGTCTGCACTGTATATCTCTTAAGGCGACCCAGAACCACTGTGATAGACACCAGTCCTATGTTCTCCCCTCAGTTCCTCCCTCTAAACCTTACTTTGAGCTGGAGACCACAGAGCCATGGGTAGCAGGGAAAAGCTACACTGTCACATGCATCGCTCCAGACGCAAAACCAGAGGCAGTGATCACGCTGTTTAAAGGTAGGTCACAGAGTACAGTATCAACCTACTGCAAACCAACTTAATAATGTTAATACATACAGGTTTTTCCATTGGGAATAGCAGAGACTTGAAATGTGAATCAGTACTGAGTTGAGAGAAAACATGTTTGAAATGGACATGTTTCAACCTACACTATAATTGTATTACACTATAACTCAATAACCTGTTTTTACAATAACATTTTAAAACTATGGCCGTGTCTGAAATCTGTCTTGCCTACTACTTATTAAAACTACATTCTGTGTACTAATAGTACTACATACTATTTAGAATGTACTGGTTAGTAAAACATATGCAGTAAGCAACAAATATCATAATACTTCTCATCCATACTGAGAAGGCGTCATCTAATGCACAATCGTGCTTGTTCCCCGCCATTCGTTCATTTTTGTTGCGCACATCCCCTATTTTGATTATCAGCTGTTGTCAAACACACGTGATTGGGGAGCTGCCCCTCCCTACCTTCAGGCTATGCTCAAACCCTACACCCCAACCCGAGCACTCCACTCTGCCACTTCTGGTCTTTTGGCCCTCCCACCCCAACGAGGAGCCTGCTCCTACACATCCCAGGCAAAGCTCTTCTCTGTCCTGGCATCCCAATGGTGGAACAAGCTTCCCCCTAATGTCAGGACAGCTAAGTCCCTGCCCATCATCCAAAACATCTGAAACCCCCAACTCTTCACAAAGTATATTTGGAAAAATGGTGGGTAAAAAACGAACACCCTTGCCTTGTTTGCACTAACACTTGCACTCTTTTTTCTCCTCCTCCCCCTCCTCCTCTCTTTCCTCCTCCCCCTCCTCCTCTCTTACCTCCTCCTCCCCCTCCTCATCTCTTTCCTCCTCCTCCTCCTCCTCCTCCTCCTCCTCCTCCTCCTCTCCTCCTCCTCTTCCCCTCCTCCTCTCTTCCTCCTCCCCTCCTCCTCCTTCCTCCTCCCCTCCTCTGCTTCCTCCGCCTCCTCCTCTCTTTCCTCCTCCACCCCTCCTCCTCTCTTCCTCCTCCTCCATCCCCTCCTCCTCCCCTCCTCCTCCTCCCCCCATCCCCTCTTCCTCCTCCTCCCCTCCTCCTCTCTCCTCCTCCTCGCCCTCCGTCCTCCTCCTCCCTCCTACCCTCCTTCCTCCTCCCCCTCCTCCTGTCTTCCTCCTCCTCCTCCTGCACTCCTCCTCCCCTCCTCCTCCTCCTCAGACCGTCCTCCTCACACCTCCTCCTCCTCATCCTGCCTCCGTCCTCCCTCATCCTCCTCCCCTCCGCCTCCTCCTCGTCCTCGCTCTCTTCATCCTCCTCCCCCTCCTCCTCGCATCCTCCTCCTCCTCCAATCCTCTCTTTTCCTCTTCTCCCCTCCCCCCTCCTCGCTCTCATTTCCTCCTCCTCCTCCTCCTGCCTCCTCCTTCCTTCCTCCTCCTCTCTTATCCTCCCTCCTCCTCCTCCTCGCTCCTCCTACCACCGGTCCTTTCTATTTTCTCGCTCCCAGCCCTCCTCCTCTCTAAACGAACCTCTCCTCCCTCCTCCTCCTCTTTCCTCCATTCCCCTCCTCCTCTCAGTTCCTCCGTCCTTCGCTCCTCATCTCTATTCCTCCTCCTCCTCCTCCTCTCTTTCCTCCTACCCCTCCTCCTCTCTTTCTCTCCCAGACGGAGTTGAGCTGACAGGTGTAGAGTCTTTCCCTATGTCTGGCTCTGAGGACAAGCTCCAGAACACACACGCTACAAAAGAGTATGTGTTCCTGTTCTCTGTCTCCTGTGTGTGTGTGTGTGTGTGTATGTGTGTGTGTGTGTGTGTGTGTGTGTGTGTGCGTGTGTGTGTGCATGTGAGTGTTATCCCTAATTGAAGAACTTCTGTATTCCCACAGAAATACAGTACAGTGTAATGAATTGGTGCTGACTGTGAACTGTTACTCAGTGCCTTGTGTCAAATCAAATTAGCTTTTGTCATAGACACAGAATTACATTTCAGTTGCTAGACAGATTCACCTGGTGGTGCATACATACATTCACCACTGCTGCAAATCAGTCTAATCCAGTTCCAGAGATAATAACCCCTTGTCATCTGCAAAGATAACACGCTGCAGAGGGTTTTAAGGACATAGTTCAGCTCTAACGCAGAATAGCCTGGTCTCCAACTAAATCCTTTCACTATCCTATATGTGTAGATAGTGGTTATAAATAGCAACATTCTTTTGTAAAGGAGCTTTTAAATCTGGAGATGAATCTAGATAACATGGTGGACTTTGTGTTTGTCATGGGTCTGGAGGTGTAATGCCCACATTGTCATGATGTTTAGTGGGGTTATAATGCTGTTGATATCCAGACCCCACAGATTGTACAGTCGTGGTCAAAAGTTTTGAGAATGACACAAATACTAATTTTCACAAAGTCTGCTGCCTCAGTTTTGATGATGGCAATTTGCATATACTCCAGAATGTCATGAAGAGTGATCAGATGAATTGCAATTAATTGCAGTCCCTCTTTGCCATGAAAATGAACTTAATCCCCCAAAAACATTTCCACTGCATTTCAGCCCTGCCCAAAAGGACAGGCTGCCATCATGTCAGTGATTCGCTCGTTAACACAGGTGAGAATGTTGACGAGGACAAGGCTGGAGATCACTCTGTCATGCTGATTGAGTTATAATAACAGACTGCAAGCTTTAAAAGGAGGGTGGTGCTTGAAATCATTGTTCTTCCTCTGTTAACCATGGTTACCATAAAAAAATACCCGCAAGGAAACATGTGCCGTCATCATTGCTTTGCACAAAAAGGGCTTCACAGGCAAGGATATTGCTGCTAGTAAGATTGCACCTAAATCAACCATTTATCGGATCATCAAGAACTTCAAGGAGAGAGGTTCAGTTGTTGTGAAGAAGAAGTCAGGATGCCCAAGAAAGTCCAGCAAGCGCCAGGACCGTCTCCTAAAGTTGATTCAGCTGCGGGATCGGGGCATCACCAGTGCAGAGCTTGCTCAAGAATGGCAGCAGGCAGGTGTGAGTGCATCTGCACGCACAGTGAGGCGAAGACTTTTGGAGGATGGCCTGGTGTCAAGAAGGGCAGCAAAAAAGCCCCTTCTCTCCAGGAAAAACATAAGGGACAGACTGATATTCTGCAAAAGGTACAGGGATTGGACTGCTGAGGACTGGGGTAAAGTCATTTTCTCTGATGAATCCCCTTTCCGATTGTTTGGGGCATCCGGAAAACACCTTGTCCGGAGAAGCGCTACCATCAGTCCTGTGTCATGCCAACAATAAAGCATCCTGAGACCATTCATGTGTGGGGTTGCTTCTCAGCCAAGGGAGTGGGCTCACTCACAATTTTGCCTAAGAACACAGCCATGAATAAAGAATGATACCAACACATCCTCAGAGAGCAACTTCTCCCAACCATCCAAGAGCAGTTTGGTGACGACCAATGCCTTTTCCAGCATGATGGAGCACCTTGCCATAAGGCAAAAGTTATAATGAAGTGGCTTGCGGAACAAAACATCGACATTTTGGGTTCATGGCCAGGAAACTCCCCAGACCTTAATCCCATTGAGAACTTGTGGTCGATCCTCAAGAGGCGGGTGGACAAACAAAAACCCAAGCATTGATTATGCAAGAATGGGCTGCCATCAGTCAGGATGTGGCCCAGAATTTAACTGACAGCATGCCAGGGCGAATTGCAGAGGTCTTGAAAAAGAAAGGTCAACACTGCAAATATTGACTCTTTGCATAAACGTAATGTAATTGTCAATAAAAGCCTTTGACACTTATGGAATGCTTGTACTTATACTTCAGTATACCATAGTAACATCTGACAAAAATATCTCATAACACTGAAGCAGTGAACTTTGTGAAGACCAATACTTGTGTCATTCTCAAAACTTTTGACCACGACTGTATAAATCTGTCTGTTCTTATGGAGGTCTCAAGGGCTCAGTTAGAGTGTTAAGGGGTGAAGTGTTTATGTGTCCTATGTTAAGCCATGACCTTTAATGTTATCCATCATCTATTATTTTCTTCCATCAAATCCTTCCCCATGTCCCCCTTTCCCCCACTCTCCCCACCCACCTTTCCATCGCACACACACACGCACACACACACTCCCCACCCCCTGCAGGTTCATGGTCTTAAGCAGTTCAGACAATGGGAGGGAGCTGGTGTGTCGTGCGAAGAACCCTGCTCTTCCTCGGGCCCTGGAGACCAGCCTGGTGATGAATGTATACTGTGAGTGTGTGTTGTTCCTTACCTCATGGACTCTCAGACACCTTCACCTTTCCTTATTCCATTCTCCAGCCACGTGTGGACCCTAATCCCGGGCTGGCCTTGGGGCAAACATCCTCACACTGAGCGATCACTCCCAGGGGAGACTTTCAACCCCAGGCAAACTCACACCTACTGGGGACCAAGGCTCAGCCTGGAGGGTTAGAGGTCGACATGAAAGCATCAACGTCTCTACTGCTGTCACGTTCAACCCACTCAACTCTGTCAATTCTACTGGCATCAGTGCAATCCTAACTCCAACTCAAGTCCAACTGTTACACTCTGATAATACTGATCAGAGGGATTTTTTTTATTTATTTTTTATTTCACCTTTATTTAACCAGGTAAGCCAGTTGAGAACAGGTTCTCATTTACAACTGCGACCTGGCCAAGATAAAGCAAAGCAGTGCAATAAAAACAACACAGAGTTACATATGGGGTAAAAAACATAAAGTCAAAAATACAACAGAAAATATATATACAGTGTGTGCAAATGTAGCAAGTTATGGAGGAAAGGCAATAAATAGGCTATAGTGCAACATAATTACAATAGTGAATTATTTTGAAACCCAAGCCTGGGAATGAAACCCAAGCCCAAATTCTAAACTCTGCTGCTGCTAAATATAATTGTCAGGACTGAGAGACCATAACATCTCCTACAGTGTGGGACCTACACCATATAATAGGGGTGGGTGATTTTACATCTCAAAGGATTGTTTCCTTGTTTACACTTTGTCTTGTTTGGGGATTTTTGGTTGTTGCTTTGAAACAATCTGGCAGCCCAGCGTATTGTTTTCTAGTTTTAGTTGTTCCTCAACACTTTGTAGATCAATTTCAGTAATTGATTGTTCTGGAGTCCACCCGCCTGGTTCTCTCCCAGGTCTAAATCAGCTGCTGATTAAATGCTACTGAAGACACTCAATGGTAAACATTCCCATTCTACTCCTTCCTGTCCTTCCACCTTCGCCATATTATCCACAGCCTTCCATATGAAATACTGTCTCTATCTATCTCCCTCTGCATTAGACGCTGTCCTATTCTATCTTTAACCACCGCCCATAACTGTAAATGCTTCTCCACCTCTCTTTCTTTCTTTCTTTCTTTCTTTCTTTCTTTCTTTCTTTCTTTCTTTCTTTCTTTCTTTTTCTTTCTTTCTTTCTTTCTTTCTTTCTTTCTTTCTTTCTTTCTTTCTTTCTTTCTCTCCGTCTGTCTCTCTCTCCGTCTCACTCTCGCTCCGTCTCTCTCTCCGTCTCCGTCTCACTCTCGCTCTCTCTCTCTCTCTCTCTCTCTCTCTCTCTCTCTCTCTCTCTCTCTCTCTCTCTCTCTCTCTCTCTCTCTCTCTCTCTCTCTCTCTCTCTCTCTCTCTCTCTCTCTCTCTCTCTCTCCACTCTGTATTAAACAACATCCCTCCACAGTAAGTGCTAATGTAGCAGAACCCGTCGACCACTGCAACAGTAGTCCTTACTCAGCAAGCCAGCCCATCAAAGCCTGGAGCACCGTGTCCATTTTCTGCCAGCTAGATTGTTAGCGAGGAGGCAATTTGTCACACCGGCCCAGGGTCCACATACAGCCGCCCGTGCTGCCTGCGCTCCCAAACTGATTGCAGCAATAACAAAGGCTGGCCCTCCCCTATTTTATTTTACGATGTATATTTTATTCAGGAAGGCTGTAATTTACTCATATTTCCAAACGTTGCTTTATTACTGTTTAAATATCTATTTTGCTTTATGGAGTCGATCTAGCCGGCTTCTCCCTTAATACTTAATGCTTTCATCAGAGCTAGATCCCTTATCCTGCAGTCAGTGTAAATGTGGCCAATTTATTGGCCCTGTGTCGACAAATAGAGAGGATGCTTCCTTTCTCATAAAGCCAAGTGTCCGCTCATCCCAGTGCATATTTCATACCTTCTCTATCCTCTCTTTCTGTCATCTTCTCTGTTTCTGGTGCTTCATCTCTCCTCTCTCTCTCCCTCTCTCTTTCTATTGCTCCCTCTTTTCCGCTCTCCTCACTTTCTGTCGTTCTCTCCCAAGATATTGCTTCATCTCCCTCTTTCCCTCTCAACATCAGTCCCACCCCAGCCTCCAGTAATCCAGGGCCTGGACAGAGAGGGCCTGGTGAAGAGGGGGACCATGTTGAAGCTGGTTTGTGTGTCCCAGGGAGGGAACCCACTGGCCACCCTACACTGGACCAAGGTACAGAGACCACACCCTGCTAAGGCTTAGAATCAGTCGTTTTTGGTGTATTCTCCATCTTCTACATCTGTTCTGTCCTCTCTCTTTCAGAACTCACTCCCTTCCTACTGCAGCCAGTCAGCCACCCATTATGTTAGTGAATTACCCATAGCCCTGTCCTGTCCTCTGCTTGTTACTAACCCATAGTTCTGTCCTGTGGATCAGAATGGGGAGGTGATTTCCACCAGCTGGGAGGTGGACACAGAGTCGCAACGGGCCATCAGCCACCTGACCCTGCAGTTTAAACCACAGGACAACCAGGCCGAGCTACGCTGTGAGAGCGTCAACCAGGTGACCCCTGTCCCTCTGTCCGACAGCCGCAAGATCACTGTCCTCTGTGAGTCCCCGACTGCTAAGAGATACATGCACTTGGATGCTAGAACACACACACAGACACACAAAAGCGATTGGATGTTTGTGTTTATTCAAATGGTTGTTAACCCAATCATTAAAGTAATCTTCAATAACATTCATCCCAATAACAATGACATTAACATTAGTCCCAGCTCCAATACTGAAAACAATTCTGGATTAACACAAATTCTAATACCAATATCATTAATGAAACCAATAGCAATTATGACCCAGGCTCATATTTCACAGAAACAAATTTGAATTAGCTGAATCGCTTCAATGCACAATCCAAAGGCAATAAAGCCGGCACTTTCTGTGGCGATAATAATGCCAACAAGTAATAAATTATACATTTTCACTTCACTGCATAGGAGATTTCTCTACTACCACGACTGAAAAACAAACAGAGAATTAAGCTTCCTTCGCATCACACCGACTCTTCCTTCACGCCAACACTCGCTCTCTCACTGCGTCAGTCAACCGTCTCAACCACTCTCTTCTTCCTCTCCTATCCCACGTAAAAGCCATGTTACCTCCTAGCTATTCGTATTCACGCCTCATACACGTTGAAAATGAGTTGCAGACCCTTTATCAATGTATCTCTCTTTCTATCGCTCTCGCTCTCCTTTCAGTTTTGTCTTGAGCTGGAGAGCAGAGAGAAGAACTGGTGTGTTGTGAATATGCCTGTGTCGCCCTAACCCAACACACTGTCTGTCTATGAGTGTAGCCCTCATGTCTGCCTGTGTCCCATGTGTAACATACAATCATACGTGATATGATGCATCCATGTCTTACTGCATCCCCTCAGGGCTTACTGCTCAGCTGCACTTCCTCTGTGCCAGTTAAGACCCATCCTGGCATAGCTGAATATAGACAGGCTTTGGTGACTAGTATGGGTTTGGAATGGATGGAAAACCTCAGGAGAGGACAAGACCTCTGAAATTGATGTTGATGGACTAGAAATGGTTTCTTTACTTCTTCCTTTACTTTCAAATCCAGTCTTTCTATCCTTGCTATACAACATTGATCCTGACACAGAGCACTTTATTGACTGAATTTACTGTGTGTGTGTGTGTGTGTCAGTTGAGCCAGAGAAGGTGATGGTGCTGGGGTTGTTCGAGGCGAGAGAGGGGGAGGAGGTGACCCTGTGCTGTTACACCTCCTCCAGTAACCCGCCTGTACACATCCGCTGGTGGCTGGGCTTCAGGGAACTCAACACCACCGTGGCCAATGTGGAAGAGGTAGGGGACTGCATTTACTTCGACACACTCTGCTCCTCACACTGCATCATACACTATAAACCTACTCGCATGAAATAGCTCTGGAAATATTTGAGTGAACTTAACCAGACAGGTTCCTGACAGGGGAGCACATGGGGCAGAAAGTAATTGCCAAGGTCAACCAGAAAGTAACATTTCTGGCCAGAAAAGCCACATTTCTAGATAAAGGAACATTCTAGAAAACACTTCCAGCAGCATTAGTGCAACCTCACTTTGGGGTGTACTACCTGGTACAGCAGCTCCCCTAAGTTCATCAAGAACAAGCTACAGACAGCTCAGAATAAAATGTCTAGGGTCATTCTGAATCTTAGCCCTCAGGCTCATGTTGGCCCCTACAGTGGCTATCAGTTGATAAAAGGGTCATTCAGCTAAAGCTGTGATTGGCCCATGAAATTGTATATGTACAGTCCCCCAGTGTCTAAAGAATGATCTTACTACTGTTAGGGACTCTCATTCCTACGCCACAAGAGGCATTGCCACAGATTTTGTGCCATGTCGATTCAAGAGCAGCACTGTCCAGAACACTTTTCTTTATATATACAGTGGGGAGAACAAGTATTTGATACACTGCCGATTTTGCAGGTTTTCCTACTTACAAAGCATGTAGAGGTCTGTCATTGTTGTAATAGGTACACTTCAACGGAATCTAAAACAAAAATCCAGAAAATCACATTGTATGATTTTTAAGTAATTAACTTGCATTTTATTGCATGACATAATTATTTGATCACCTACCAACCAGTAAGAATTCCGGCTCTCACAGACCTGTTAGTTTTTCTTAAAGAAGCCCTCCTGTTCTCCACTCATTACCTGTATTAACTGCACCTGTTTGAACTCGTTACCTGTATAAAAGACACCTCTCCACACACTCAATCAAACAGACTCCAACCTCTCCACAATGGCCAAGACCAGAGAGCTGTGTAAGGACATCAGGGATAAAATTGTCGACCTGTACAAGGCTGGGATGGGCTACAGGACAATAGGCAAGCAGCTTGGTGAGAAGGCAACAACTCTTGGCACAATTATTAGAAAATGGAAGAAGTTCAAGATGACGGTCAATCACCCTCGGTCTGGGGCTCCATGCAAGATCTCACCTCGTGGGGCATCAATGATCATGAGGAAGGTGAGGGATCAGCCCAGAATTACACGGCAGGACCTGGTCAATGACCTGAAGAGAGCTGGGACCACAGTCTCAAAGAAAACCATTAGTAACACACTATGCCGTCATGGATTAAAATCCTGCAGCGCACGCAAGGTCCCCCTGCTCAAGCCAGCGCATGTCCAGGCCCATCTGAAGTTTGCCAATGACCATCTGGATGATCCAGAGGAGGAATGGGAGAAGGTCATGTGGTCTGATGAGACAAAAATAGAGCTTTTTGGTCTAAACTCCACGCGCCGTGTTTGGATGAAGAAGAAGGATGAGTACAACTCCAAGAACACCATCCCAACCGTGAAGCATGGAGGTGGAAACATCATTCTTTGGGGATGCTTTTCTGCAAAGGGGACAGGACGACTGCACCGTATTGAGGGGAGGATGGATGGGGCCATGTATTGCAAGATCTTGGCCAACAACCTCCTTCCCTCAGTAAGAGCATTGAAGATGGGTCGTGGCTGGGTCTTCTAGCATGACAACGACCCGAAACACACAGCCAGGGCAACTAAGGAGTGGCTCCGTAAGAAGCATCTCAAGGTCCTGGAGTGGCCTAGCCAGTCTCCAGACCTGAACCCAATAGAAAAATCTTTGGAGGGAGCTGAAAGTCCGCATTGCCCAGCGACAGCCCCGAAAACTGAAGGATCTGGAGAAGGTCTGTATGGAGGAGTGGGCCAAAATCCCTGCTGCAGTGTGTGCAAACCTGGTCAAGACCTACAGGAAACGTATGATCTCTGTAATTGCAAACAAAGGTTTCTGTACCAAATATTAAGTTCTGCTTTTCTGATGTATCAAATAATTATGTCATGCAATAAAATGCAAATTAATTACTTAAAAATCATACAATGTGATTTTTTTGATTTTTGTTTTAGATTCTGTCTCTCACAGTTGAAGTGTACCTATGATAAAAAATTACAGACCTCTACATGTTTTGTAAGTAGGAAAACCTGCAAAATCGGCAGTGTATCAAATACTTGTTCTCCCCACTGTATATATATATGGCAGTGGTAGAGCGGAACAAACTCCCGGCTGAGATAAAAACAGTTTCTGCCAGTCTTAGGTTCAAACACTCCTGCAAGGCTTGGTTAATGTTGACATTGCCTCCTAGCCAAGTGTAAAGCCACTCTGCACTAGTGGAGTGATTTGGTAGATGTGCATATCTGCTTTTTTTTGGTAAATATGTAAATATGTGGACATTGTGCATGATTGAATGTATGGCACAGAGTGGCCATGTCACTTGTTTTGCCCTACAGCCATTTGCCTACCAATAGAGGACCACAATGGAAACAAGTCTTTGACTTTTTGTGTATATAACCCTCTTCAATATTGGTACATGTATTGGTTGCCTGGTGTGGCTTCTTTATGTGTTTTAAATAGTCAAATAAAATGAAATAAAGTCAGACCTTTGACATAAAGCACAAAAAGCATGTCAAGTATTGGGTCTATACATTTCATACTGTCTTTGAATTGAAAATGACCTTTGAAATTACACCTCGGAGGTCAATACACACTTAAATACTTAATTCAGATTTCAGACACTCTTATTTGTACATCTCAAGCGCCCAATGACAAGCATCTGTGAGAGAAGCCTTTGATTCTGACAGAACTCGTATTATTCTTCCCCGTGCAGAGTTTCCACCTTGACCAGGTAGAATCTGTTCTTCATTCTCTCTCCGCTCTGAACAAAGAACTTCTATTCAGTCTGTACTACACAGGGCTTTGCCAGTGAGTGAAGTGTTGCCTCAAAAAGTGTTCCTGTATTCTTCTCTCTTGGCTTTTGCGTATGTTAATGAGATAAAAGTGAATAAAAGCTAACATGGGAGTTGAGAGAACCATTATCCCGGCTCTTTGTTCATTTGGAGAAATAATTTTCATTTGATCTAGCATTTACAGCTGCATGCGTATGAGGGCTAATAAAGACTGACACCTCAGTGGTGGTTCTTTGTGAATGCGTTCCTTCTTGTGTCTGTTTCTCTCTGAAAAAGGCTTTTGCACTAATCATCTCAATAAAAGCCTTGATAAACCCAGGGTGCAAAACAGACATGACTAGCATCATACAGGAGCAAATGGGTGTTTGATTCAATTTATTACTCGTTTTGTAAGCAGGAAGAAGCATATTGATGTGATTTATTTGTTTGTTTATTATCAGGGACCAGGCACAATGTAAGTAGAGCACAAGAGTTAGAGAGCCACAAAGCTCAATTTCATCATCAAAACAGTATTATTATTGTATTTCCTGTGAGCAGCTTAGTATGTATCTCCAAGGAAAATGTTCAGGGACACTAGAACTTCCTGTCTCTTCCTGACGTTGTCATGTGTCCTTTCCTGTCTTCAGGGAGATCACGGGGGGAAGACGACCATGTCTAACCTGACCCATGTTGTCTCTCGGGAGGAGAACGGGCTGCCCCTCATCTGTGAGACCTTCAACAAGGGCACACGCTTCTCCAAGAGCCAGTCCACCAACCTCATTGTTTTCTGTGAGTCTCTGGATAGAACTATGACAACAATAACCCTATAACCCTAATGGTTGTTGTCTATTGAATGACTATGACAAGTACAACCTTGAACAAACCTTGCACAACCAGAACATAACTATAATAATAATATATAATATGCCATTTAGCAGACGCTTTTATCCAAAGCCACTTACAGTCACTATGCATTGTACAGTAACAATCCCAACAATCTCAATGTGTGCTTTCTATAACTATAACAATACAGAGACAACCCTCCCTCTCTCTCTCTCTCCCTCCCCCCCTCCCCCCCTCTCTCTCTCTCTCTCTCTCTCTCTCTCTCTCTCTCTCTCTCTCTACCCCTCCCCCTTTCCTCTATCTCTCTCTCCTCCTCCCCCCTCCCCTCTCAGACCCTCCTCAGAAGGTGTGGATAGAAGCCCCTCCCCAAGGGGTTCCTCTGAGATCAGGAACCATCGTCCGCCTCATCTGCTTCTCTAGCGGGGGAAGCCCCAAAGGAACCCTCAACTGGTACAAGGTGTGTATATGTGTGTATTGTACGACAACATACATTTTGATTGTTTAAGTTGTCACACGTTGTAGCGGTTAAGACCCTCTGTCTGTACAGCACCATGTCCTCCATTGTCTCCTCTCCTCTCAACCCGGCAGGATGGTAAGGCGTTATCAGACTACCCCAAACAGTTGCCCTCTGACAAAGGCGTGTCCAAAGAACTGGTTGTGCGCCTCCAGCCCAGTGACAACATGGCTACCTACCGCTGTAACGCCACCAATAAGGCTAAGATGGTCCTCACCGCCACAGTCAAACTCATGGTCCAGTGTGAGTCTTACAGACCGGGCTCTGGGCATGAGTGGGTTAATGCTAGCCTTTATGGACCTGACTAATAGTGGAGGAAGCATTAAGTACATTCAAGATGATAGGTAGATTCAAGCTATAGCCTAACGTTATGCTACAAAGACACGGAATCAGCAGCCTCAGTAGGTTGACAGTGGTGTCTTGTCCCCTCTCCTCTACCCCTCCACCCCTCCCCCCCTCCCCAGTCCCTGCAGTGAATGTGACAATCATAGCCAAGCAGAAGGAGCTGCGTCGGGGCCAAAACCTCAGTCTGGACTGCCTGTCTGGGAGCAGCAACCCCCAGGCCAACATCTCCTGGAGCATGGGCCCAACCAGGTGAGGGGAGTGCAGGTTACAGTTTTTCTCGATTGCTAAGACACATTTCTTGAAAGCTGCTCTCCTTTTCTCTTAACTGTGAACACAAAACCCAATTTTCAAGCTACATTCACAAAACCTCAGACTCTTCTTGCAAAACCAAACTTTCACCTCAAAACAGTTCAATCTGTGCTCAAAACTGAACTATGTTGTCAAATCGTGCCCCAAGTCAATCAAAATAAAAAACACTACTGAACAGTCACTAAAGACTACGTAGAAAAATAGAACACAATGCTCAGGACATGAAGCTGGAGAAATAAATGTTTATTGTTCACTGTAGGTTAAATGCATGTTGCAAAAAAAAAAAAACTGTGCATTTAGCACTTGTACAAAAAGACAAAACAGAAATCTTGTGCATTTACATGTAGCACTTGTAAAAACAAACAGAAATCTTATGCGTTTGCCACTTGTGTACAGTAAGCCCATGTAAAAATAAAGTAAAAAAATATACAAATAAGTGCATTACTCAGCCACAGCATCATGTCTCCGTACTGGGTCAGGCCACAGGACTTCATCCACATCACAGGCCACATTTTGTCTGGCCAGGCAACGGGGGAAAAAAACCCTGGCATGCCGTATCCAGGCTTGGCATGCCTCCACACCTATGTCACCACAGGCAAGTCCCATGGCTTGCAGGAGATTTACCCTGGTGTAAGGTTGGCGTTCATATACCTTCCACCGCCATGAGGAGAAGAATTCCTCAATGGGGTTTAGGAAAGGGGAGTATGGTGGAAGGCAAAGATTGATAAAACCTTGGTTCATATTGTACCACTCTCTAACCTGGAGGGCTAGGAAAATGAGGAGGAAAATGAGGAGCTGGTGAGTGTTGTAGGGCCCCAGGTTGGCATGATGGTGGACAACCCCATGATTGCTGATGGCAGCACATAATGTGACATTGCCACCACGCTGCCCAGGAACACCAACAATGGCCTGATGGCCAATCACATTACGGCCTCTCCTTCTCCTTTTGGTGAGATTAAACCCAGCTTCATCCATGTAGATGTATTGATGGGGTCTTTCCATTGCATCCAGTTGAAAAACCCTCTGTAGAAATAGATATCGTTTTGTAAGTGATACGGAAAAAGTGATTTAGGCCACTACAGTAAATCACTACTTAGAGTAATCAACATTGAATGTGTCTGGATATATGCCAACCTGTACATACTGGAATCTTTGCTCTTTGACTCTGTCTGAGTTGCGATCAAAGGGCACTCTGTATAGCTGTTTCATGCGCAGTCTGTTGCGCTTGAGGACACGATCAACAGTAGAGAGGCTGACACTGTTGATACCCTCAAAATTTAAATGGTCCTCAATGATCTTCTGCTGAATTTCGCTCAGTTTAATGGCATTGTTCTCACGGACCATATCAACAATTAGGGTCTCTTGGTGTGGGGAGAACATACCTGTCCTCCCACCCCCATGTGGCAGTCTTTCAATTCTACAAAAAGAGAACATGGAGTTACAAAAAATATACATGGAATACTAGGCCTACAAACAGTTAGACCAACCCTCCATTACAATACTACAGTACATTGGTACAGTGATGTACTGAAACATATATTTACTTACAGTATACTGTGGTACAGTATATAGTATGTCATACAGTAATTGCTGTCAACATTTACATACTGTACTATAATGTCAAAAAAAGGTAATTACCTGTTCTCTTCTCTAAATCTTCGGATTATGGTGGACACAGTGAATCTACTGATGTTTGGTTGTACCCTTTGTCCAGCCTCCCTCATGCTCATACCATGGACAAGAACATGGTCAATCACAGTAGCTCTGATTTCATTAGATATTACTGTTCTTTGTCTTCGCTGACCACCTCGACCTCCTCTCACACAAACTCTTTCTCTCAGATTTCTATCCATTGTAGGGCCTCACAAACCAGTGCTCTCTGAACTGGCTTACTGTATATGTTCCCTCACATCATTAGCCACAAGTGTGATCAATTTTGAGTTGTTGTGTTCAAGTGGTGACACCTGTGCTCTAATTGTGTTTGACTTTTGTCACCTGTGCTCACCATTATGCAGCATGGGTGCATCACAATGAAAATGTGTTGGCAAGTTATGTCTAAACAGGTGAAAAGTGCTTATGGTATTGCCAAAAGAGTGATTGATTCAATCAGTGGGTTCAGGCAACTGAGCATTTGGTTCAGACAATAGGGTTTAGTGTTTTAGCAATTGAGAAAAACTGTAAAGGGGAGCCGGCCTGTGGGCCATGGAGGAGTCTATGGAGACCCTGGACTACAGTCTTGTGCAGGTCAATTTTTTGCAACCCGCACCCGGTCCGCTCCCGCCACAGTACCGCGACTGCACCGTAACCCGCCAATCAGGAAAGAGAGCTGCCGCAACCGGGCCCGTAATTTGTACCAAAACCCGCCGCAAACCGCCAGATCATAACAATTGATTTCATTGTTATTAGTAGTAGGCCTAGGGCATATAGGCCTACAGACAGTAGTAGCCTATCCCCATGTCATAGCCTATTCAAAGAACTATGCAATTGCATGCAGCCATTTGAAAATACAAAAGTAAGTCGTAGCCTACTAAAGCAAGCAATAGGCCTAACTGAGTTGTGAAAAGCCATACCTACCTGCTGGACGAGGGGCCTGTTTTGGAACTGCCCTCATCAACACAGACTTGCATGCTGAGTAAAAATCCATCCATGGGCTAACGTCAACGATTACGCAAAAATAGCCTGTTAACACAATTGTAACTTCACTTTTGAACTGTTTTCATGAGTTGGCTTTACACTTGCACTAATTGTGTTATCAAATGCTGCCATTTCATGTATAAGTTAGTTAGCTAGCTAATTTGAGCAGGGTGTTGACCCTGATTGCTTCTGTGTGTCGCTCTGGATGGGAGTCTGTTAGTTGACTAATGTGATGTAGTTGTTGAGCGGCTTCACTGCAAGTATATTGTATGTTTTAAATATTAAATAAAAAGTTAGCTAGCTAGCTCAGGTAAGAACGGTGAGTCGTGAGTGAAAGTCATGTGAGGGGAAGAGCAAGGGGTGGGAAAGCAGGAAAGGGTAATATGTTTTACTCACAGAGATAGATAGAGGGTTCATCTTTATATCTATGCCATTATAGCATCTGTGACAGCATGGGCCCCACCATTGAGGCTACAACCCATAGGAATCCCCACCCAGTTGACTACTTTGACTACTTTAAAATGGCAGAAGCATGGTGGAAGCCCTCATTGGCGCTGCCCATGATAAAACTGCCATTTGGCCACTAGAGGCCTCTATCATTCTCTGATGTTTTACTCAGCACCACTGTGAGCATTCTGCGCAAGTAGCCTGTCTCAGTGCCACTCTGATGGCAAGCACACACTACAGAATGAAATGAGTCAACTGACAAAACACAGTAAAAATAGTGAAGTTGTTATTTTATTATCATGATTAAAACCTCAACCGATCCGCAACATGTTTCGGACTGCAACCCGGCCCGCGGATTTATCGAATGTTCAAAATTGACCCGCTAAACGTTCTCCTCTCATCGCTCCCTCTCCCAGGCTGAAAGGGGTGGATCAGGCTCCTAGGAACACAACGTTTGGGGGTGTGTCAGTACGCAGTACTCTGTCCCTCCCCCTGTCCTCCCAGCACCATGGCCAGAGGATCACCTGTCAGGCCTACAGCTCTCTGCTGTCTGAGGGAGTCAACACCTTCTACAAGCTCAACGTCCTCTGTGAGTGGTGAAGAGTGTGGGTTGGTGGGTTGAATACGTGTCTATTTCTCTCAATCTGTTATACACAGCTTTTGAATATTTTATTTGTTTCACTGTGAATACTTTATTTGTTTCACTGGGGATCTAAATCAAGTATTCAAAATGTGTGTGTACAGTTATGAGTAGGAGAAAAATAAAGTCTGTGCTGGTGTGTGTGAGGCTTGAAGCATGATGGTAATGTGACACGATAGTGTGCATGGCAGGCAGTTTTGTTTGCATGTGTTTGTGCTGTTCTCTGTGTTTGCGTGTGTATGTGTGTGTGTGAGTGTGTGTTACTGTATTCCTTTGTTGTGACTGTGGGTTTGTCAGGCTCTGCGGCAGTGTGTCCTAATTGTATGTATGCTTTGCAGCACAGCCATGTTATTCTTTGATGCTGTTTCGCAGGCTGCAGCCAGCCAGCTCTTCAAAGCCTGCTCCTCCGTGCAAGCATGAAAGAATGTCACTGTGTGTTTGTGAGCAGCTGCTGTTGGACAACACTACTGTCACTCGCTGTTTTAATGCCCGTCCCTCTCCCTTCCTCCCCCTCCCTCCCGCCCACCCTCGTTCTCTACCTACCTCCCTCTCTCTCTCCCTCCCTCTCGCCTTTCATGGCTGACATGGTTTCTTTGTGTCTGGGCTTGTATGTTTTTCTCCCTTTGTGTGTGTGTGTGTGTGTGTGTGTTTGTGTAAGATCCCCCAGAGTTCAGCCCTGACCATCCCCAGAAGGTACAGGTAGTGGAGGATGAGACAGCCATCGTTCCCTTGCTGGTCTCGGCCAATCCAGATGACATCTCCTGCAGTTGGCTCTATCGCAAGGAGGAGCTGCACAACGGTGATCCACCCTGCTCTCTCCCTCTCTCCCTGTGGTATCTCTATATAGCCAGCCAACTAACTCTCTAGAGCTGAGCCAGTCTTATGACTTGGGGGTAGATGCTGTTCAGGGTCCTGTTGATCCCAGACTTGGTGCATCGGTACCGCTTGCTGTGCGGTAGCAGAGAGAACAGTCTATGACTTGGGGGGCTGGAGTCTTTTAAGATTTTTAGGGCATTCCTTTGACACCACCTGGTATAGAGGTCCTGGATGGCAGGGAGCTCGGCCCCAGTGATGTACTACTCCTCTGTAGTGCCTTGCAGTCAGATGCAAAGCAGTTGCCATACCAAGCGGTGATGTATCCAGTCAAGATGCTGAGCGCCCACGCCAAATCTTTTCAGCCTCCTGAGGGGGAAGAGACGTTGTGGTGCCCTCTTCACAACTGTGTTGGTGTGTGTGGACCATGATAGATCCTTACTGATGTGGACACCAAGGAACTTGAAGCTCTCGACCTGCGACAGCCCAACTACAGCCCTGTCGATGTGAATGGGGGCGTGCTCGGCCTCTGTTTTCTGTAGTCCATGATCAGCTCCTTTGTCTTGCTGACGTTGACGGAGAGGTTGTTGTCCTTCCACCACACTCCCAGGTTTCTGACCTCCTCCCTATAGGCTGTCTCAACGATGTCGGTCGTCAGACAACATAATGATGGTGTCGTGCGTGGTCATGCAGTCGTGGGTGAACTGAGAGTACAGGAGGGGACTAATCATGCACCCCTGAGGGGCCCCCATGTTGAGGGTCAGCGTGGCGGATGTGCTGTTGCCTACCCTCCTGACCTGGGTGCGGCCTGCCAAGAAGTCCACGATCCAGTTGCAGAGGAAAATGTTCAGTCCGAGGGTCTTAGATTAGTGATGAGCTTGGAGAGCACTGTTGAACGCTGAGCTGTAATCAATGAACAGCATTCTCACATGGGTGTTCCTCTTGTCCAGGTGGGAAATGGTAGTGTGGAATGCAATGGCTTCATCTGTGGATCTGTTGGGGCAGTATGTGAATTGCAGTGGGTCCATGGTGTCTGGGATGATGGTGTTGATGTGAACCATGGCCAGCCTTTCAAAGCATTTAATGGCTACACATGTGAGTGCTACGGGGCAATAGTCATTTAAACAGGTTATCTTGGCATTCTTGGGCACAGGGACTATGGTGGTCTGCTTGAAACATGTAGGTATTACAGACTGGGTCAGGGAGAGGTTATAAATGTCAGTAAAGACACTTGCAAGCTGGTCAGCGCATGCTTTGAGTCCGCGTCTTGGTAATCCGTCTGGCCCTGCAGCCTTGTGAATGTTAACCTGTTTAAAAGTCTTACTCACATCGGCTATGGAGAGCGTGAGCACACACTGAAACAGCTGGTGCTCTCATGCGTGGTTCAGTGTTGCTTGTTTTGAAGCGAGCATAAAGGCATTTAGCTCATCTGGGCAGCTCGCGGCTGGGTTTCCCTTTGTAATCCGTGATAGTTTGCAAGTCCTGCAACATCCGACGAGCATCAGAGCCAGTGTAGTAGGATTCGATCTTAGTCCAGTATTGACACTTTGCCTGTATGATTGTTCATCAGAGGGCGTAGCGGGATTTCTTATAAAAGTACAGATTAGTCTCCCGGATTAGTGGCAGCTCCTGGAACATATTCCAGTCTGTGCTATCAAAACAGTCCTGTAGTTTAGCATCCACTTCATCGGACCACTTCTGTATTGAGTACTTCACTGGTACTTCCTGTTTGAGTTTTTGCTTGTAAGCAGGAATCAGGAGAATAGAGTTATGGTCAGATCTGCCAAATGGAAGGCGAGTGAGAGCGTTATATGTGTTTCTGTGTGTGGAGTAAAGGTAATCTAGAGTTTTTTCGCCTCTAGTTGCACAGGTGAAATGCTGGTAGAAATTAGGTAAAACAGATTTCAGTTTCCCTGCATTAAAATCACCGGCCACTAGGAGCACCACCTCTGGATGAGGATGGCCCTATACAGCTGGTTGAGTGCGGTCATAGTGCCAGCATCAGTTTGTGGTGGTAAATAGACAGCTACGAAAAATATAGATGAAAAATACTTTGGTATATATCTTATCATGAGGTATTCTAACTCAGGTGAGCAGAACCTCAAGACTTCCTTAATATTAGCGATTGCGCACCAGCTATTATTAACAAAGAGACACACACCTCCCCACTTCAGCTTACCCAACGCTGCCGTACTGTCCTGCCGATGCATAGAAAAACCAGCTAGATGTACACTGAGTGTAGACAACATTATGAACACCTGCACTTTCCATGACATAGACTGACCAGGTGAATCAAGGTGAAAGCTATGATCCCTTATTGGTGTCACTTGTTAAATCCACTTCAATCAGTGTAGATGAAAGAGAGGAGACAGGTTAAAGAAGGATTTTGAAGCTTTGAGACAATTGAGACATGGATTGTGTATATGTGCCATTCAGATGTGCCAGGCGCACCAGTTGGTGTCAAGAACTTCAATGTTCCTGGGTTTTTCAGGCTCAACAGTTTCCAGTGTGTATCAAGAATGGTCTACCACTAAAAGGACATCCAGCCAACTTGACACAACTGTGGGAAGCATTGGGGTCAACATGGGCCAACATCCCTGTAGAACGCTTTCGACACCTTGTAGAGTCCATGGCCCAATGAATTGAGGCTGTTCTGAGGGCAAAGGAAGTGTTCTTAATGTTTTGTACACTCAGTGTATGTTATCCATGTGACTCCGAGAAACATAGGATATTAAAGTTCTTCAGGTCCCGTTGATAGGACAGTCTCGAGCGGTGTTTGTCCAGTTTGTTCTTGTAAGTTCGCCAATAGAACGGAGGGTAGAGACGTTTTATGTACTGGCCAACGTAGTTTCGTCAGGGTCCCCGCACGTCAGACTCTCATAAGCCGCCTTTTTCTTTTACGAGTCGTGGATTAGGGCCTGGTCCAGGGTGAGCAGTATGTCCTGCGCCTACGACTCGTTGAAGTAGAATGCTTCATCCAAATCTAGGTTAGTGATCGCTGGTCTGACGGAAACATTATGTACAAAAAAAGTTAATATCAGCGAAACCCCCCCCCCCACAAAATAGCAGAATTAGTCAGGAGCCCGTAAAACAGCTGCTATCCATCTCTGTAGTCAGCCCTAATGTATGCTGCCTACATTACACGCCAGTGTTGTATATCCAATACAACCCCAATCCTGTCACAACCTTGAACCAACCGACCGACACATCCCCATCCCACTGCCTCCACTCTTAATGATGTAATTATAGCACTGTTCTGAATGTAGGTCTGAATGTTCCACTAAAACCCACAGTGCAGTACAAGCCTAATGGACAGACAGCACAGCGCTATCCTGATCCGATGGAACCTGACAGTTGGAGGTATCCATAATGTATAGAGGATTGCAATAGCTTTTATGGCTGGCGCTGTAGCCCACTTAACAATGTCG